TTAGCAAGGTGTGGAGGGATGTATTTCACAAAAGGCCCTGACACACTTAGCAAGGTGTGCCCTGTATTTGCGAGGGAAATTACTGGAACGCGTAAATTTTAATTTTTTTCTTTTTTATTGAATAATGCATTTTAGGATAAATAAATAATATGTATAAAATTATTAAAAAAAAAGGATGAGACCAAAACAAATTTGAATGTAACTCTGAAGGGCCTGATTGGAATTGGATATAAGTTATGCTGGATTTGATTAGATTTATTAGATAAAAAAAAATTAATTTTGAAAAAATAAAGTTGATTGAGTTTGTTGAATAAGACTTTGCGTTGTTATTTAAATAATATTTAAAACACAATGAATTAAGCCGATGCGGTGTAAAAGTAGGTGATAAGTGATTGAATGTAATGTCTAGTTAAAATTATGTAAATAGAAAAATAGTGAATTAAATTTAATGTGATGTGTGGGGTTGATCGATTGATATCATTTAATTATATTGATAATATTGAGGAAAGTTGAGTTGATTTAAGTTTGAGTTGGAATTTGAGTTAAAAAATTATATGATCAGTCAAAATATTTTTTTTCCCCTTTCTTCTCTGCGACTCAAGCCTCAACCCTAACAAAGCTCTTCTGTTTTTCGCCGCCGATTGGCCTTCTTTGGTGACGGTGAGGCCTGGCCAGCGGTCGCCCCTGACCGCTCGTCCCATCTTGGATGTCGTGTGCCCCGAATTTTTCCGTGTTTTTCGCTGCGTCGTTACCTTCAATCCCGATGTTTTGGAGTCTCGAAATGTTGTTCCCTTGGTCGGAGTTCTGTCGGCGATGGGTGGTTTCCTCTCGTCTCCGGCAGACCCTCGATTGGAGATGCTATGCTCTTCTTTCTCTTACTTTGTCGACGTTGTGGGAGTCTCATGTTGGTTGTTCTCTCCGGCGGGGCGTTAGGGGCTTTCGGTGGGGTGGTTGGCCGTCGTGTTCAGCGGTGGTGCTCGACGGCGTGCGGGTCTGAGAATGGGGAGGCCTCGGCTGCTGCAACGTCTCCGTTTGTGGTGGTAGGGGTTGTTGAAATGTACTATTTACCCCTCTCCCCTGTTTCGGCTAGTGGTATTAGGCGGAGGGGGTCCGAGAACCTGACTTTCTTGAGCTCGACTAGTGGTGTTAGACGAGTTCGAGAGGGGCAGGTGGGGGTTGGTTGGTCGGTCTTCTCTCGGTTGGAGGTGGGTCGATTCGAAGAATAGTTCAGAGCTCGGTTTCGACTACTTTATAGGCAATTGAGCAATTTATGTAGTGGTTTCTCGGGTTGGGACTCTTTCTTGTGTCCATTGTTTCCAACGGATAAGACGTTGGCATTGTCGACTTCGGCTACAACTTGACGATATCACATATCCCAAGCCATACAAAGACCATGAAGTAACCCCCATAGCTCGGCTCCAGTGATAGAGCACAACCCAATATTCATCGTGAAACCACCAAGTCATCTACCATGAGTATCCCGAATCAACCCACCAGCAGAAGCCATACCCGAGGATTTGTTATGAGCCCCATCCGAATTCATTTTAACCCAAGACGTTGGTGGCGCCTCCACTATATTCAATATCACTGATATAATTAAATAACAACAACAAAGAAAGAAAAGAAAATTAAAGGGAAAAAGATACCACTTTCAGCCGCCAAAGCAATTGAACCAACCGCAGGAAAAGTAACCGCAGCAGTAAATGCCTGAATCAACAGCTCCCTCCTCGTACCACATTCTTCTCCAACAATCACACTGTTAGCAAACAAGCACAAAATTGATTTCGCTTTAAAAAAAGAAAAACAAAAAAAAAAGTAAAAATACGGGCGGGATAAAGCTCAACAAGTTTATTGTTCCTCCACGGGCCATGAAAAAACCCAACAAAAAGAAGATGAGAAAAGAATGTAACTTAAATACCATCAGAGAACTGTAAGAACGAAGGCAGTAATGAAGGTGGGCGGTCCTTGTGGCAGGGAAGGATTGGAGGGAGAAAATGAGAGGTGGGAGAGAAGGATATGAATGTGCAAAGAAGATATAGTGGCCATAGCTTTTGTGCAGTTGAGACCCGAAAGATGTTAAATCTTGAATTTTATATAATTTTTGGGATTATTATTTTTCTATCTCTCAAAATATAGTTAGGCCTTTGTTGGGTTTGTTGCCTTTAGCTGTTCTCAGTGTGCTTTTTTGAAGTGAGTGTGTTGGGAAAAATATGTTGAATTTTCCATGAAGTCGGATCTATAAAAGTGAAATAAAAAGGAAAAATTTGGACACACCAAATTGATAACGGAGTTCGGCCAATAATGCCTACTTCTCCTGACTACTGTAGATGTTTTATTGGGGAAAAAGAAATACACTCGTGTTTACAAAACACTCTCAAACTCACTCAGAACCCGCAACACAAATACACACAGAAGCTAAAATTTTCGCATCTTGTTCACTCTCTTTTTCTCTCTTGTGTTGGTGTGTTGTTCATCAGAATTTGTTCCTCTACTTATAGAGGAAAGAGTACATCAATTTCAACATATGTGTACTCCATTTTCAACATGTGTGGGCTACAACTTTTTTTCAACAGCCGGTTGCTTCTCTTCATTGTCACCAAAGGCTGCTTCATTTGTTATGTCAGAGAAAGAGGGCA